GCTACTCCTTTTTCTTGTAGTTGTCCAACGCTGAAGAGATTACTTTTAAGTTTAGGTACCTAATAAACATTACTAATAGTGCAACGAACCCCATGCAAAGTTAATTTCACTGCACCCTTTCCCATAACTTTCATAATTGTATTATTTTCAAGTTTGAGAATGTGGGAAAATGTCTTGTCTAAGCTAGAAAACATACCTTCACTTGCACACATATGGTTTGAGCAACCAGAATCTAAGAACCAAGCATCACTCCTTTTTGCTTCACGTCTTCCCATATGAGCCATTAACAACATTTCATCCTCTTATTCCATCTCTGCATAATTCAATTCCTTATTCATCTTTGGACATTCATATTGAAAATGACCTGAGTCATGACACCTATAACATTAAACAGTTGCTTTGTTGAAAGTTGATATTCCTCTTCTGCGTCTTTTGCCCCTGTAAGTTCCTCTTCCTCTATTACTTATTTTCTTTCGTCCTTTGACTTTTAGAACTTGTTTCTTCATTAATGCTGGATCTTCGAAATTTTTGTTTATGCACCACTAATGAATTTTGTAATTCATCAAGGGACATGTTATCAGTATCTTTGGATTCTTCAATGAATACTAACATATCTTCTCCATTGCTTCTCATCTTGTTGGAGATTATCATCACTCTTACAAAATAATTTGTGATACTTTCATCGTTCTTCATCTCGATGATCTCAAATTCTCTCAATGCATTAAGAAAAGATTTCTTCACTTTTTGATTTCCACCAAATTTTCGCTTCATTGAGTCCCAAACAATCTTGGCTGTGCGACGATCCAAGATTTGTTCAAAGATAGCACGATCAATTGCTTGGAAGAGGTAATGTTTTACTTGGTGATCTTTGAGTCTAGCGCTCATCAAAGTGGCCCTTTTGTGCCTCAGTCAACATTGTTCCTTCCTCTGGTTCTGAGAAACCGTACTCCATAGACCTTTTGCTCTTAGCAAATTTTCCATGAGCTCACTCCAATGATCATAGTGACCATCAAAGTGAGGGATCTTCGTTAAAGTTTTGTCTTCACTCATACTCTCTCTCTATTTGATCAGTAAAAAATTGCGGCTATGATACCAATTGTTAGATTTTGACGTAACTAAGCCAGAAACATAAACAATTGAAGTATGAAGTGAGATATTATTGAATATTGAACTTAACTTTTATACCTTTACAAATAATCATAAATAGAAACTAACCACAAAGGTTGGAAACAAATTTTTGGAACAAATATGTTAAACAAATTTGAAAATACTTAAAAGAAATACCTAAAAATACTCTACGATTCTTCTAACATAGATCCTGACCACCATGAATCCATGTTTACTTGCCTTCCACTGTCACGACCATCTAACCTTCTTGTCAAAACCCAAAATGAACCTTCGTGCTAATTTATGTTCAGTGTCCACAAACTCTATAGTGAATCGTTTCATTCTCATAAAGTCCCTTGCATACATGGTAACTGAACGTTCTCTTTGACTCAGCAGGGTGAACTATTGCTTATCAAATAGTTGAGCATCTTCCGGATAATATTCTTCCAGAAAGGCACTCTTGAAATCCTAATCACGAGATTACACCTCCCTCAAGACTAAGAATCTCAAGGTGGACTGCCACCATAACTCCGCATCACCTTACTACATGAACACGGCTCATTACACCTTCTAATCATCTAGGCAATTTATCAGCCTGAACACGGTCTTTATTGATGTAAACCACAATTGTGCCACTATCAGATCATCTGTAGTCCCACTAAAGTTATGAGGGTCATCCCTCTTGAAGTCTCACAAGTATTTTGCCTCTCTAGTTGACGACAACGCATTAGCTTATTGAGTTGTTTTCTTCGTTTGCATAACTGCTTGTAATGATTCTATTAGGACAGTTATGGGGTTTGGTGTGGCCTAAGGCACCATTGGAGGTGAGGGTGGCACCGTTTTGTCAGGTAGATTCACCGATTCTTTGTGGACCAGATTCTTCTACCCATATCTCTATCTCTAGTAGGGGGTCGTCCCCTACGCCCTCTTCCTCGTCCTCTAGATGACATAATTTATATACAACACATAACATACTAATTCTATAATGCTCAATTTACATACATTACATACTTCTTTTCTCATTCACATAAATACATCCAACACATACTTTCAACTTTGCATTATCATGATCATATTAATTACCGTACATAACATGTCCAACTTTGCATTCTTATAATCATGCAAACATATCAAAATCAATCTACCACATGCATCATTTAACTATACCAGTTATTATCTTCAAAAAGCATCCTTATGATAATAGCATATCTGCTAGAGAACTATGGAAGTATGTTGGGCCTACATCGTAGACCGGTCTATAAGACCTAAAAACTTAGAGCTCTAATACCAACGATAACCTCCTTATTTTTTCTTGCCCTAAATTAGTGACATCACCACATGTATGCCTTTATTACATATGCAAAAATTCATAATTAAACCCTTTAAAAGAATCCATGGCTTTACACATTTAATTCAAAAAACAAGAAGTTTGAGATAACCGTCTTTTAACATGAAACAAAAAAAAAAAAAAACCACCTATTACTACTAAATTAAAACCATGCATAGTATTGTTCAATCTTGACTTCCATGGCCTTTCAAGAGTTAACCGTCATCCATGTAAGAAGCTTTAATTTTACCTGGAAAATATAAGGACGTGGCTTGAGTATTTTAAGAAATACTCATTTAGTCATCTCACTATTGAAGTTAGTAATGCAATCACACACATAACATGTTTGGGACCTATCCTTTAAAACCGTAACATGACCTTAGGCTCTTTCCAGTTCTGGGCAGGGTTGGATGTGCGGTACTTTCCCAGCAACGAGCCATGTACGTGCACATGGATCCATCAAGCGAGCTCGTATACGTCCCCCTAGGACTGACTTGGTCGAGCACAACACATTACACATCGTCGTATGTCACAAAAAAGAGAAAGACCCGCATGATATCATGACTAACATAAATATCGAAGATACGCATTTGTAGTAGTATAACATAACGAGAAAGTATCTCGATGCACATGACATACATACATGCATGAGGTCCCCATGATTTTAATTCATAACATAACATTAACATCAATCCCTTTTTCCTTTCATTCATGACAGAGTACATATATGCATTATGCATACATGACATACATGACATTCATCACATGATCCATCATCTCGTTTTACATGATAAATAATATGGTGGATGCAAAAGCCATAGGACATGCACCATCATACATCATTCAATCATCTAACTCCAATAAAGTCACTTGCTTGGTTGGCCTTGGCCAAAGTTAGTAATTACTCGGTAGCAACTTTGAAAACCTTACTTCAAGGTTTAATTTCATCTATGTCAAACCATATCACATATTTAGGGCATACCCATATCTTAGTCTAGCTAAACATGACAATTATTTCCAATATAAGTTCTAAAATGATCTAAAATCGAGTAAACGGGAGTCTTATTGACCTCAATTTCCTTTAATAAGGTCAAAAAAGAGGGTCGAAAACTAGGGAAAATGTATAAAATTTGTATACCGAGTTTTCTAAGCCGAGAAGTCGATCCTCCAAGTTGTCGAGTCAATCGAGCTGCCACGCAAACCGATGTCGAGCCAAAACTGAGTCGTGGCTGGGGGAGATCACTCCTCGGGCATGTGTACAGCCAAAGGAGAGGTGTGGGTAGCTTTGGGTCGAGGCGCGGGTTTTTGGGATACTACTTCTCCACCTTATTTCGGCATTCGTTTCCAGCTCCTATTCTGTTTTCCATATCCGACGCTCACCGCCTCTCGTTTTCCTCTCCTATCACAGGGGGAGCCACGCTCGTCGAACTTGATACTCCCCACCATCGTGTTGTCACCTTCGCGAACACCATGAATACCCTCCCTCTTACTCTATTCTCTTTCTCGGACTTTCCCTCTCTCTGTTCTTCCTCTCTTTCCGTCTCTCTTTATCACTTTCTCTGTGTGTAGGTTGCAGATTGAACGAGGGTTTGTTGATGAGGGATTACATGAAGACGGGGAGGTTTTTAATAAGGGTGAGAGCGGTTATCCCTGCGATTTTCGACGAGGTTTGATTGTTTTTTTTTTTTTTTTTTGGTTCAAACAGTTACAGAATTGTTCTCAATCAAATACAACCCACGTCACTCCGGTCAAGAATTAAAGAATTCTCATAGTTTCAAATACGGCCCACATCACATCACTTTTTTTTTGTTATCGATGAGGTCTATTAAACTCTCTAGCAGCGTGTAATATCATTTAATATGGAGATTAGAAATTCTCATAGTTACTAACTTAGCACACATCACTTCTGTCAAGAATTTCGCAAGGATTAGTAGACTACAAATATTTGTAAACGACTCATACATATAACCTAGAGTTATACAATTCATTTCGAGCGTGTAGCATGCTCACATTTCATTTTAAATCATGCCATTCACTCACATTTACTATGCTAACTCCTTTCCTATGGTAATTTGGTCCTACTATAGTAATGTCACAATTCCCCTAATTTGGCCTATAGTTAATAACTTGGAAGGTTAGTATGGGTCCATATGAATAAGTCAAAATGAGTCGAATAGAACGAACTAGAGCTTGATACGTGATTGCACGCGCTCACACATGTTTGCACGCGCTCCTCCTTCAACCTCGGGCTTCTGCATTTTTCAGTTCATTGTCTTTCTTTCTTTTTTTTGTCCAAAATTTCGTTTGCTTCCCACGCCAGTTTTTAACACCCAAGATTGATATGTTGGAATCCAAAGGTCCCCTTAGCTTCTAGGGATTCATGTATGCATATTTACTCATACTGATTACCAAGTCAAATCGATGATGGTTGCAGATCAATTTGACAGTTTCAAACTGTAAGAAAAACAAATGTTCAAACAAGTTACACCAGATTCATCGTTCAAATACACCATTTCTATATGAACAGAACCGTCTAAAAGTGACCAAGTTTTGCAGGTCAATCATTCCCTAAGAGAACATACACCTCATTCAAAAACCACTGCCATAAAACTCTTATATACCGAAGTCCCATGAAAACATTCTTTAATTGTGTGTCTGTGTCTAAGTATACATTCTACAGCACTTCAAACCATTTAAACAGAGAGTTTCAGATTTCAGCTCCCAAAAGAAAATTGTACTGTAAATGATATAAGAAAGTTTCAGAGTTCCATCCATAATCAGTAACTCGTGAGGTGTGACCCACTGCAATGAACATCAGAAACACCAGAAATTCTCAGCCTGGGTGACAATGTTGTAATCCCAACAGCATCAATATCAAGATTTTGAATTACTTTTCTCTTCTGAGTTTCCAAATTTTCTCTCTTATCAGCAATCCCTTCTGTTCTTGTCACAGCTTCCTTCTGGGTAGCCATGGACACCATTGCTTGAGCATCTGCCACCACTGATGCATCATCTTCTCCAGCATACAGAATCTTCTTTATTGCACTCACAACCTGAAGAACAGAGTTTATCAGCTAAAATTGAACACAAATTGACAGTAAATCTCAGGGTACTACTTCTACCTTAGAGTCCTGTATCTCATGACTCTGGCACAGAATCTCAATATCCCTCAATTTTGAGAAGTAAAAGTCTCTTTCCTTCTCAAGGCTGTCAATTGAAAGTTTCAGCTCTGTGATCTGTATTGGAATTCTCATCATTACAGTGTTCAGATATCCTAAACAGAAAGAATTCACATCCATATTGTAACACGAGAACTACCTGTTCATCATATACTGGTGATCCACAGCTCGAGGAAGGCCTTGAAGTTTTTCCTGATTGACTTGAAGAGTTGACAGTAGAAGTTGCTTCATGTCTTCTTGAGTTATGAGAGGTATGTGATCTTGATCCAGTTGTTGAGTTCTTGGCTGAAGATTGAGAGGCTGCAGATTTCTTGCTAGCTTCTTTCCCGCCCTTGCAGGCATCTCTCCTTTCTAAAGCGTTGTAACTGGAAAAGGAACAGAACAATTTTGTAGAACTCCTCCGTTGATAGAATGGAATTTGGAATTGTGATATAACCAAAATTTTGAAGAACTTCAATTTCAAGTGAATCATAATTTTGTGAACGTGAAAGGAAAAGAAAGTAGATGGAATTACTTGTGTAGAACACCTCCGTTGATGGAATCACAGTACCACTTCATCCACTGCATGAATTCCAAGTTATCAAGTGGCCTACCTTTCACAAGCTTGCTAACCTCGATATGCTGAAATCAAAGAACATAAAGAAGAAGAAAAAGGCAGTTTCAGAACAACAGACCTAGGTCAAAATCAAAACTGAATCAAAGCCATCAGAAGTGGGGGAAATCGAACCTTGGTGATCTTGAGCTTGTTAAGCACATCTTGAAGAACCTTGTAATTCTGGATCATTTCGTACTCGCTTTTGGCATCGAAATTGACCTTATGCATGGGCACCATCCCTGGATGAACCGCATCCATCAACTGGCACTGGATCGCACCAGAGCAAGACTGTGCTACAACATAACGATTCTTCGTAAGAGCAGTAAATCGCAGGAATATTATGAAATCGCGATGGAAAATGAAAACAAAAATGAAGAGAAATTTCGAGGAAGAATAGAATTGAAACCTCTTCAACTTTGGAGAGATTGAGGTGGAGAGTGGAATTGATCCATGAAAGAATCTCAGATCTGCCAACAAAGTAAGCCGAATCCATGGTTCCAATGCTTGAAGCAATTTTCTGTCCTTCAATTCCTGTTCCGAAGTGTGATTGGCGCGGTGAGATTGGTGAAATTGATATTGTTCCTTGCTTTGAAGGAAGAAGAAAGTGAAAAGCGTTGGGGGTTTAATACGATTAAGCTTACAACGGCTATTAGTTGAGAAAGGTAGAGGGAAAATTCAAAATGAAAGAACGGCGGGATCTTTGTCGGCTTCAAATTTTTGAATTTCTTAAATTTCCAGCCACTTGCCCCAACATCAGCGCGCCAAGCCACCACATCTCAATTTATCCTTTTTTGTCTTTTTATTTTTTTTTCTTTCATTTTGTAATTAATTAATTCAATCATTCATTTTATATATATAATATATACTATAAACTCATTCAAATCCGTCACCTATAAACTTGTGCTCGATAATGTTTACAACGTCTTATAAATAGGATACAAGCTACCAATTAACTCCTAAAAATACGATAAAATACACTAAATATATTCTCCATCTAACTTTATATCTTAAATCAAATTTAATAATGTATTTAGAGCGTAGATTAAAGTTTGTGGTAATTAACAAGGTCATCGATGTGATTATAGCATGCAAGTAGGCTACTTATTTAGTATTTTATACCCATCACATCTTTTCCGTTAGTCATAGTTGGATTCCAAATAAAGGACTTAATCCAACCTAACCCTTATGATTTAGGTTGGGTTGGTCTGGTACCGGTTTAATTCACTATTCTTTTTTTTTTAATTATTTATTAGCTTGATACGCATCTACCACATGGCTAGCCACGTGGCGTCTCTCGCCATCTAACATGTGCTCAATGCTATGCAAACATGTGTCCGTCTTCTTCCTCATCTAGAATTTTGTAAAGTGATTTTTATATCTTTTTTCACCTAATTCAAATCAACTGTAGGTAGATTTTAAATCCTTCTGTTTACTTTGGAGATAAATAAATGCCTTCAAACTTAGTCCAAAATTACAAAATTACTATTCTCGATGCTGGTTGAAACTCCACCTTTCCGCTCAAACTTGTGTCAAATCATCTAAATATTCAATATTAAATTATAGTTTATCATATATATCATATTTGATATTTTATTAAAACAAATATTTTTCATTTCATTCCTTTTTTCCCCACTAATCAGCAGCCTAACTTCTTACCAGATGCCTAATTAGGAAAATATGGGGTTGAAATTACCATTTTACCCTTCTAGGGTTGATTTTTTATATAATTTTTTTAAAGCATTTTATCTTCTGTATCATCTTTAATCTCAATATCTACCGTTCTTGATAAAATCTTAGAAGTTTAAACAATCAAGAAATTAATCCTCGTCAGGTTTCGAGTGTGACAGGAAAATATTATAATAGGAAGACTAAAAGAAATAAAAGTATTGTTCACTTAGAAGGAATCGAAAATAAGACAACAAACATAATTGAAGTTACTTAAGAATCAGAAGGTAGAAAGTTAGTATCAATGTAAGTAAATTGAGTTGAAGAGAGTTGATACGTGAGCTTTATATACAAAGCAGTGGATATGCAAGGTGACCCAGAAGAGTCTGAGAACATTGTAATGTGTAAAAGACACGACAATGTAATTAATAAAGTAGACAACAATGGTTTGTTGGCAAAGAGAAATCTCTAGATTCAAGAAATGTAATTAGTAGAGACCGAGAAAGGGAAATAATTTTTTTTAATAACTTCTAGTAGTTACGGTGTGTGGTGTTTGTATATTTAATAGTGGGAGGTTAACACAAAAAAATGAGATGTTGAAGTTGAAACACTCGAATCAATTACAACTTCAAAATGTTTCAAATTGAATGAAAAATGAGATGATAAAGTTTTTCTTGGGGTATATTACGAAAAGAGTATGGTTTCTCGATGTTTTAGGTTATCGTGAATCGGATTATCAAGTTGGTATGGTTCATATTGAAGAAACCTATATGCCCATAAGTTGGTGAGCATTGTAGTACAAGAAGGAGATTGTTAAGTGACATAGTGTGTTCCATGTCTATGGAAGACCTAATTTATGTTCAATTTACATGAGAGTTTATAATGATATTGGGTGTCCAACAAAATTTCTCCATAGTAATCCTTTGTAAGGAGCTATTTAGATAAACTCGTTTGAATTTTATTTATAAGATAAGCATGTTTATGAGTTGTTATCGTGAATTAATTTATGAATCGTAGATTATGATGGAATGTGAATCAAGTATGTGATAACGATTTGTTTGATTGTTATATGCATGACGAGTGTATGATTGGAACTTAAATAGACATGTATGGTGATCGGTGGTGCTTTATGTGACTCATGAATTTATTAGTATGTCACGGTTCGTTGGTTAGCTACCATACTACATTTCTCCATAATTATGTTGGATTGCATGCGTAAGTGTATGACTATATGGAGACAAATAAGGGCTCCACTAATTAACTCTCATTCATGAACCTAATTCATACGAGTCCACGTATATGGTGGGGTCAGTAAAACCTTTCCCATCTTCATTCTTGTACCATATTTTATTTTCCATCACCGTAAAATTTTTCATTTATTTTTGTGAGGATTGAGACAGAGAATCTCCCACAAGAATTAGCGGAGATTGAGCTCCTACCTAAAATTTTTTCTTGTTGATTTTTTAGAAAATAAATAACTTTTTAATTAAAGAAATTCATTTATTATAATTTATAGTATATATATAAAATAGTAGATGTTAGATAGGGAATATAATCATTGTCTTCAATTCTATTTATCTAATAACTAGAAATCTCTCTCCACTCCCTCTCCTATTTCCCATTTAAACTGGGATTCCCTACCTATTTGGGATAAATGGACATCTATAGTCGCCAAGCATGTTGTAACAGTGATCCTGCCCTAAGAACTAAGGGTCCACATTTGTATCTTATAAATGGGTAGTCCGTTAGTCTACTACAACACCTAATATTTTAGTCTATTAGACCCCGTATGACATGTTGTGTGCTAATTAGGACTAGGAGAGCACCTAAGTGTCGTGCTATATACTATGTTAGACAAGCTGTAACTAACCATGAGAGCGCTTTACATACGAGCTCTGAGTATATGTTACACCATAATTAAGAAAACTGGTAGATAATTAATCATCACACACTAGAACTCCTTTACATCATGAAGAGTAACTCAAGCTCCATGGAGTTGACAAGCTTGTTATGGTAAACTTAAGAGAACTCGGTAATAGAGATTAGATAAAGAGTTTCTAAACATGACATAATGACATAATGGTTGTAATGAGGTAGTAAAAAGATAACTACATCAACCAAAGATCTAAGCTACCCTAAAAGCTAAATGTGCCGTGTTTAAGGAATGAAAGTCATATCATGAGCTCAAGTGAGTGGTAACTTATAGTATGAGAGTCGTTTTATGTGAAGTATATTTAACTATAGAACTATGAGTGAGTTACCCATTGAATATACTTATATATTCACTCAGGCTACTTTTTCATTTTTGTAAATAGAATTTGAGATATCGAACGATGATGGTGACGTGATAGAGTTACGTGGCTAAAGAATTTATTAAATTTGTGTCATAGAGTTTTCGCAGTATTTTAACATATTATGTACTATGATGTCTCACATTGGTTGGGGAGGAGAACAAAACATCATTTATAAGGATATAAAAACCTTCCCCAGCAGACGCGTTTTAAAGCCATGAGGAGAAGTCCGAAAGGGAAAGCTCAAAGAGGACAATATTTGCTAGTGGTAGGTCTGGGTCGTTACAAATAGCATCAGAACCAAACACTGGACGATGTGTCAGCCTTCTCGCTCTTGCCCAAAAGGGGTAGACACGAAGCGGTGTGTTAGGAATGACGTTAAGTCTCGAAGGGGAGTGGATTGTGATGTTCTACATTGGTTGGGAAGGAGAACAAAACACCCTTTATAAGGGTGGGGAAGCCGGAAGGGAAAGCCCACTAGCGGTTTTATATTTTCATTCTTATTTATTTATTGTTATTATTTTGAATATGCAATATTTAATCATATTTTGACTTTTAATGATGGACATTTTCTCTTTACGACTTTCAAAGATTGTATTTCCTTTTCCTATTTCGTTTTCTTATAAATAATTTGATTTTGACACATTTTGTTTTCTTTATATTTTTGTTTGTGACATTTGTGGCTCTAATGTATGCTTGGACTTTTCATTAGTTCAACGTTGAATTTTTCTTATTTATGTTGACTAATCGTAATATTTTTTTTTTTTTTTTTTAATATTGAATCGATTAAGAAACAAAATTTTTAATATAACATCGAAGGTGAAAATACAATTTTCAAACTTCTTGATTGAAAATATATATCTTAATCACTTGAGTTGTATGTTCACGTAGATGAAAAATAATTGTTTATCGTATTATAACAACATCAAATCAATCTAAGTGTAGTTTGGTGGACATGACTACCTCCAAATTATAAATTTGTGTTTAATTATTTAGACTCCTAAAAGTTCTTAAAAAGGATTGAACAAGAGTTGAAATTTACTCATAGTGATAAGCGCACGAGGCAACAATTACGAGCAAGTGTCAGAGGAGCATATTCCATTTGGGTTGAAACAGATTTAGATCGTTTTGTAAGCTTCTCGTCTTCAAAAATCATAATTTCTACTTAAAAAATGAAATTAATTTGGTTATTAATATTGTGAACTCTTACTATATAAAGATTTGTCTATTATTATTATTTAGAGGGTGGAATATTTGACTAGCAATTAAGAGAAATTTTTGGTTATAATGATTGGCTACTACCGTGGATGTAGAAGAATTTTTTCTCTCCGAATCACGTAAATCTCTTTATCTCTTTGTTTAAATTTTATTCGTGGGTGTGTGAATGCAGTTGATCTTGCTTTCGTTTTCACTACAACAATTGGGTATCAGAACATTTTGGTTGTGACATTCCGCTACAACAATTGGGTATCAAACAATTTTTAGTTGCGACATTCCACTACAACAATTGGGTATCAAAACATTGAAGGTGGTAGCATTTCGACGTACAACAAGCGATATCAGACCATTTATTATAATCTAGCTAAACAAAGGTGTATATATATATACAGCAAAATGTCGGAGCAGGCACGTGGTATACATAACG